CTTCTTTCAGCATTTTTTGAAGCGTAAAATGCGTATTATTCTCTTCTCAAATTTTTAAGGCATACGATGATCCGGGAACCTTTTTAGACATTATTAAATAAGTTCTCTACTGCAGAATTAGAAGCAACAAGACCTTCTCAATCGACGTGTCCATCCTTAACGAGGGGGATAGAGCCTCTAATCCTGAAGAAGTACATAAAACACGAATTTTGAAAATGCATCTTCTCTCGAGGGAATTCAATAAGCCCGAATCCCCCCTCCCCCGTTCGTCAAAGTACCTGAGTTAAGCGCCTGTAGGCCTACAATTGCGCAACGCCCTGGCCCCAAATACGCCAGTGGTCAAACAAAAGAAAAGTTATAAAAATTCCTCTTACTCTTACCATCGAATTCCAAACACACACAGATAGCGAGGAACATGGCGTGGGGGTGAAAAAGAAGAGATAGAAAAAAAAGAATAAAGAAAAATATCTAAAAAAAAATAACAAACTAAAACTCTCCTAAAAGCCGATAAACACAAGAAAGTCATCTTTTCACTTGAGCCCTCCTCCTCCCCTCCATCTCTTTTCTTCCCCTCCTTAAAACTCCAAAAGGGATGAGATTGAAGAGAAGTGAAGAGGGGGCGGGTGGGGATTCTGTACTTTTAGTTCGGGATTAGAGTGAAAAAGAAACTCACAGTTTGAAGATCCCGCAATTAGTATTCTCCCGTGAGCCTCCGCGGTAAACAGTTGGCGCGCCATCCTTCGGACTCTGTTGACATTAAATTCAATTTGGAGCCCTGGGGAATTTGAAGAAGTGTCCTTAGGGTTTGTGAAGAGGAAAGGAGAGGAGGAGTGGGAGAAGAATAGAATTCACCCCCCTCCAGTCCCACCTCCCGTTGGTATTGGACGAAGTTTTAAGCCAGGGGTTCACTCGTTTGGATGCTGAGAGCATACAATGTATAGAATGCTGTGTTATTTCAACTTTTCCCGATGAGAAGATCTAACGGTAAGTTCACCCGAATAAACATCAAAGGACACACATGTAATGTAACTTCAATTATAATTTAGTCATCTGTGACATGATCGGTAAAAACGTTCTACTTTACAACTGTTTCAAAAAATGCAGTCATTTCTCAGTTTTAAGCAATGTAATTGGTTCCATGAAAACAGTGCGTTGAGGGGATTGTGTAAATGGAGTGGTGAATGAAATGAAATCGGATCGTTTTAGATGCCCCCGCTTAGATGCTTACCTATTTCTGTACCATATTACAAATATTCACTACACAGCCTCACAGTTGAGTTCCTTCAAAGAAAAAGAATATTTCATCGAGTAATTCCCTAATTTACACTTTCCCGCAATGCAACGCACTGACATCTAGTAGCTCAAACACCTTAAAGTGAATCCATGTAATTGTACACTGCGTAAACGATGGGATTACTACCATCAGTAGAAACTTGGAAAATTATTGATAAATATATCGCTTTGACTTATTTTAATTAGACTAGGCAATGAAACTTTTTAATGAAGTATTGTCTTATGTATATAATTTTATTGAATGAACAGCTCAATAAGTCTGCATATAGGCCTAGTAGTGATGAACTGGCTGTAATAGCCTAGTGGTGGTGGGGGGGCATAGCTACCATCGTATCAGCAGTACCAATGATATGGAGTTCCAAGTAACAGGGGTTCTAACATGTGTAAGCAAGAAATCGCGTAATATGTTATCAATAATCCCAT